CCCCCCCCCCAATTTTCTTATTACCCAGTTTCTGGAAGCCTGCTAAGGGGCACCAGGGCTGTACTGCCCTCCCTTTGTGGTAATGCTGTGGCATTTAAAGATACCGGTGACATTAGCTCAGGGTAAAAGTAGAATACTGCTAGTGACTGCACTGTGAAGCCCGAGTTTCATTAACCAGACAAATATGATCATTTTAGACTAAAGCAATGCTTTTTTTCACATGTCATTATGAATGTCATTGACAGGTGTGTGCCCACTGAGTTTCCAGGAAGTAAATGTCGAGGCAGGTGAGATGGCGGTACTGCAGTGCCCTTCTTACAGAGAGTACCGTGATGGAGATGCTGAGGTGTTCTGGACCAGTCACACCGTGGATAAAATGAAACTCTTCAACATGTCAACGTCAGCTGAGCAGAGGCAGATGGGTGTGCTGGTTCATGGAAGAATCCTTGTCATTCTCAGAGCTTCAGTAAACCATCAGGGGAATTACTCCTGCTCTTTTCGGTAAAATGAATGGTTTCCTTGTCTAAGACTGACATCAAACAAAAGTCGTGCCCACACACTGACATAAAGTACTATTTCCTATACGACAGGATAGCAGAGCAAGTTTAACTTGTATTATATTTTATTATAACATTTTAAGGTTGTTATTGAACATCACGGCACCAGAAAAGCACTTTTTATATTTGTACTAAACCAGGTTGCTTGTTGGCATTATGGTATGACAGTTTCCCTAAATGCTGGTAACATATATGTGAGGATCCTGTGTTTGCAAATAACAACCCGCCATCTGAAGTTAGCAAATCCTGAAACACAACTGAGGACGGCGGGTTGTTGTTAAGGTACAGAAAAACTGGAACAAAGCCATATTTTATTCAAACTAGAACATAGAAAACATTCATTTTTTTATAAACTTAGATGGTTTAACAACTAATGTACCATTTTAACTAAATTTTAAGAAAACAATCATTTTAATCATTCTTAATAATTTTCAATTAATAACTTTGAATTTGACGGCAGCCGCATGTCTCAAAAGGTGGGACAGGGCCATGTTTAACACTGTGTAGCATCACCTCTTCTTTGAACAACAGTCTGTGAACATCGGGGAACTGGGTAGAGCAGCTGCTGGATATTTGGGAAAGGAATGTTGTCCCATTCTCAACAGTCACTCTTCATTGCCCTATTTTTTTTGTCCAGTGTTTTGATTGGTGAAAGGTCTAAACACCAGGCAGGCCAATTCAGCACCCGGACTCTTCTACTTCAAAGCCATGCTGTTGTAATGACAGCAGTATGCAGTTTAGCATTGTCTTGCTGAAATATGCAAGGCCTTCTCCGAAAGACATAGTCATAGAGTATATGTGGCTTTAAAACATGTATATACCTTTCAGCATCCATTATTACAAGCTGTGTAACACGTTGCCAAATAATCTTTCAAGTTTTGTTTCGCCTGACCTCAGGACAGTTTTTCGCTTTGCCTCAGTGAATCATAGAAGATGATTACGTTGTTCTTTGCATGGTGGTGCATTAGCCTACATTAGTGGATGGCACAAGTGTCCCTGAGCCCATGCTGTGATTTTCATGATAAATTAAATTTAAACCAGTGCTGCCTGCAGGCCTAAAGTTAAAATCATGATTTTCATGTGTAACACAAACACTTCCTTCTCAACCTTTTATTGGTTGAAAAGTGTTTTGTTGAATTTTGTTGAGACATGTCATCAAATTCAAAATGAGTGTTTTCCTGAAATGGTACGTCTCAGTCAAAACATTTGTTTTCTGAGTTCTGTTGTGAGTAAAATAAATAAATCAGGTAAAACAAAATCAGACAAAGGCACACAAGAAGCATGAGTGTATCACAGGTTATTAGGTTTCATCTTCTGTGGGTCAGAGAAGAGCCTCTCAGTAATCCAGCGTTAAAGGAATGGATTACTGAAGGCGAAGCTGAGAGGGATTTTTATACAGAATGCCAGATATGTTAGTTTCATTTCACTGTTTGCAGCACAAAACTTTCTCAGCTAATAATAAATCCTGATGGACAAATAGCCCGCTAAGTAGATGAACACCATTTTAAAACTAATCCTTTAAATCTTTTCTTACTTTCAAATTAATTGTTTTTTGTTTGTTTGTTTGTTTTGCTTGTTGCTCAGAATGAAAGTTAAAACTTCATGTTACTGTTTTCTTTCCTTGGTAGGAATTCCAGCAAACAGTCCTGGATAAGCCTCAAAGTTTATACAGCACAGTCCAGAGACTCTGAGCAAATGAACCAGATCTCTAAAGAATGTTACACAGAGGAGTACTGCAAGTTGTATTGCCCTGAAAAAAATGTTCCCTTTAACACCCTGAATATCACCAGAAGCGGCATCACATGGCACAAGGTAAACAGAGCAGATTATGTGAATGAGATCAAACTGTAAAATATTGTTACAGGGTTTTAATGTTTTTCCAAATTTGACAACTGACTACTTAAAAATCTAGCTTATATGTTGTAGGAGGGCGGGTCATCACCAAAAGACGGTTACTTCCCAAGTGTGAAAAAAGAGGACAGTGGCAACTATACCTGCACCCGGTCTTACCTGTATGATGGTCAAATATATAACATGACCTCTACGGTGAAACTTGATGTCCAACCAAGCAGTAAGAAAAACACATTTTGCAGATATTTATTTTGAATGATTTTAATACGTGCTTTTCAAAAGGTTTTTTTATTTCCACAGAAATAACTAAGAAAGCAGTGATAATTTCACCAGAGAACAAGCAGGTATTTGAGGTAGATTTAGGTGAGTTATTGTCTATATTCATACACCTTCACACTCTTGGCTAAAGCTTAAATGTTAATCGTTTATAACAACCTGTGTTAACTCTGCTTTTTCTAGGTTCAACAGTGGTGATTGATTGTAAAGCAGTTATGATGTCAGAGACTGATGACTTGTTTTGGTTAAGTGGAAGTTCATTTGTGGATACAGACACTAGTCTACCAATTTTCTATAATGATACACGGTAAATATTTCACACACAGGTCCTCTGTGGGTCACACTGATGTTATATGTAGTCACATCAGCTCAGATATGAATTCTGTTTTTAGATCTGCCTCAGTCATTTCCTTCTCTTCTCAGGGTCATCAGCACAGAGGAAATCAGAATGAGAACATCTCTAATCTTCAGAAAAGTGTCAGAGGACGATCTGTCAAAAAACTATACCTGTAAACTGCAATCTGCCTACCAAACAAGCTTAGTCACTATCACTCTAAAACAAAAAGGTATGGCCAGCTGAACATTTTGAGTACTTAATAATACTCTTTAATGTGTTTATTTATTAGATGAGCTAATTTAGAAAATCCCCATCACTCCCTACAGCTGCTCCTTCCTCTTGCTTTGTGGCTTTATGGATTGTGGGCTTTGTGCTGATGGTGATGGTACTAACAGCAATTATTTATGCAAAGTTTAAAGTCGACATCACGCTTTTCCTTCGTCTAATTCTTGGCTGCCATCGAACCATCCCAGGTAGTATTCATACATTTTGCTAATTCAAACATTGTCTGTGTTCACATTTTTGTCAGAGCGGCAAAAATCAGCTTTTTTCTATCCACTTTTAAAACAACATTTTTATTTTTTTCCATTTAGATGGAAAAAGCTACAACGCCTGCTTGATGTATTACAAGAGTAGCACAGATCCAGGACTAAATGAAGATGACAGAAAAAGGCTGGAAAGTGAAATGAAGTACAGACTTGGTTATAGTCTCTGTTGCTACAGTCCTGATGTTGTACCAGAGAGAGGTGCTTACATTTTTCATATTTTTACAAAATTGTTATTCTAAATTTTGTCCTTACAAATTCAATCAAGGGGAAAACAACACACTCTGATCTGTGCTTGTCTGCTCCTGTAGGAGAGGCTGTGTTAGACTGCATAAAGCAGAGTCAGACAGTGGTTCTGGTCCCCTGCTCAGAAGATTCTGGTTCAGGAGTCGACCTGCTGAAAAGTATCCAAGCATCCCTCAAGAAGTTGCAGACTCACGTGGTTTTGATTAAAACTGAGACAGCCGGAGTCTTGAGCACAAGTTCATCTTTAGAGGCCTTACAACTCTGCAAAGCTGCAGACTGTGTCACCTGGAAGGGAAAAAGCTCGATGCTGCCCTCTTCTGCCTTCTGGAAGCTGCTACGTTATTACCTACCTGCCCCACAGAGAGCACCCAGAGCTTTAATATGACTATACAGTATATACTATACAGTATTTAGGATGTATTTCCTCCACTGAATACACACACATGTAAAGGAAGCTCTTAAAACATGTGGTTATCCTATTTGGTCTTTCATCAAGTCAGCAAAGAGGCACAGAGAAGACGATCAGACAGAAACTAGGGAGGATCAGAAAGACTAACACAACATCCCAGTGTACTTCAGACCCAGCCACACAAAAAGTGGTTCATCCGAAAGACAGAACTCCTAAACACAAACTTAACAATGTGGTGTATGCTGTACAGTGTAGCGAGGAATGCCCAGACCCCTACATTGGAGAGACCAAACACCCACTTCATAAACGCATGGCACAACATAGAAGAGCCACCTCCACAGGACAAGACTCAGCAGTCCATCTGCATCTAGGACAAAGACACTCCTTCGAGGACACCAATGTTCACATTTAGAACAGAGAAGACAGATGGTTTAAAAGAGGAGTGAAGGAAGCCGTCTATGTCCACTGTCAATGACAATCTATGAACAGAGGCGGTGGCTTACAACACCAACTGTCTGCCATCTATAACCCAGTTTTGAGATCCCTTCCCAGACGCCTTAACGACCACTCACATCCTGGGCCTTTTGACCTCAGGAAATCGTATGATAGGGTTAGGGCTAGGTTTCACTATGAGTACACCCGAAACCATGCATGATTGCTACCCACACCCGTTTTCACACCTTGGCTCATGTGATTAGGTAGAGGATCAATAGGGGGCCCATGTCCCTCTTGGTGGGTTACTCCCATAGAGCTTAAATCTGGGACTCTCCATCATTTGACCCTAGAACTGAAGAAGCTTTTCGGTTGAGAGGTGAAAAGTCTTCAAGCAACTTTAAGAAGTCCAGACGCTTTTCTTTCCAAGCTCCTTAGACTGCAAGCTGGAGAGGAAGCAGCATCTCACTAATCCAGAAGATCTTCATTTAGTCTGGATAAAAGCATAACATTTTAACTATTAGAGGAAATATTTATTTATAACTATCACACAAATGTATCATTATATACAGACACTTTTATTGCTACTGATATATTTATTTATATATATTTTTTGTCATGTTCTGTATAATATTGTACTTTTCTGTTAATAGTGTTATTTTGTATTTCCTTATGCTGATGGGTTTGTTTATTGTGTTATCTTCTGATATCTGGTATTGGTTCTTTTTTTTCCTTATTTGTGCCTCAAGTTTTTAGTTTGATTATACAGTTATGTTCAAAATAATAGCAGTGTGTTTTAAAATGTGAGTAAAGCTCAAAATCATCATAAACACGTATGCCAGCCAGGATGATTTGACAACCTTTCACAATTCCTCTGAATTTCTTGGTTTTGCCTCAGAAACAGCATTTTTGATGTCACCCAACAAGTTTTCTATTAGATTAAGGTGTGGGGATTGGGCTGGCCACTCCATAAGCTTCATTTTGTTGGCAGCATGACCTTATCAATTATTTTGATATAAGCAAATTGATCCATGATCCCTGGTGTGCGATAAATAGTTCCGACACCATAGTAAGAGAAACATCTCCATATCATGATGCTTGAACTACCATGCTTCACCATATCATGATGCTTGAACTACCATGCTTCACCGTCTTGAGAGTGTACTGTGGCTTGAATTCAGTGTTTGGAGGTCATCTAACAAACTGTCTGCGGTCCTTGGACCCAAAAAGAACAATCTTACTTTCATCAGTCCACAAAATGTTTCTCCATTTCTCTTTAGGCCAGTCGATATGTTCTTTGACAAATTGTATCGTCTTTAGCGCATGTCTTTTTTTTTTTTAGTAGCGTGACTTTGCGGGGGCTTCTTCCTGATAGATTAGCCTCACACAAGCATCTTCTAATTGTCACAGTACTCACAGGTAACTTCAGACTGCCTCTGATCTCCCTGGATGTGGTTATTGGCTGAGTCTTTGCCATGCTGGCTATTGTTCAATCCATTCGAATGGTAGTCTCTCTGGTTTGGCTTTCCATTTTAAAGCATTGGAGATCATTTTAGCTGAGCAGCCCATGATTTTCTGCACTTCTTGATATGTTTCCCCCTATTGAATCAACGTTTTGATTAAAGCAGGCTGTTCTTCTGAATAATGAATTACCTCACAGATTGGACTCCATATTCTCCGCTTGTACTTTGTTGTTGTCTCTCTAAGCCTTCTGGTTCTGTATCCATATGTTTAATGATTTCTGGAGACACAGGATTCCCAGACTTTCATTTACATATTCTCTGGTTTTCTGGACTTTGTAACTTGACCCAGTATTTCATATTAAACCTTTGCGTTTGCGATGGCAGAAATGAAGCGTTCGAGAGATCAAATCATTTGGAACAGCTGTTTTGGAAAAAGATTTGATCTTTTGGAGAATTTGGAACACATTACTACAGCGACATCTGGTGGCCAAATAAATGTGATTTTAAATTATTGCACTGAATAAATGTGAATGTTTTCATGTGTCTTTTTCTTTTTGTCTGTCACCTTTTCTGTTGGTTTATAGTATTATTTGTATGGAAGGATATTTTGTTTGAACCAGTCAGTAATTGTAGGTTGTGCTTCTGCACATAAAGACATCAATCAATATTTATAGGGTGTGTTTTTATGCATGTTTAATTATTTTTATTAAGAAAAACAACGTGTTCAACAGTACTGAGACAATTTTGTCTTTTGCACAAAATCTCCTGCTTTGAATGATATTCTCTCTTGGGAGACTGATGTGGTTGAAGTGGAAAGATTAGCTAGCTGGAATAGATGAGGGAATATGGTGGCATGTTGGTCCAGTAATCTAGAGGGTCATCTCCTCTTGGTACATATAGGGCTTAGAGAGTGTTGAACCTCAGCAGTACCATTATCTATGACACCCTATTCATGGTTGGTTCACCTACCCTGCTGTCAAAAACATCGCAGAGCTTGTACTGTAGTGGCTGACAATTTTAGGATGTGCGCATCTTTCGTGAGGGTTGAGATGGATAAGCCCTTTTTGATGTCTTCAAGGCAGGCTGTGGCTTGGGCTACCATTATTTGCCTCCTGACATGATGTCACCCTGTCAATGATCCCACTTTACCTGTCGGTAGACATCACTCCTCGATCACGATTCTGAATGGATTACTCCACAAACACAAGCCACAGCTTTTCTGTCACTGCAACTTATCATTGATCATGTTCTTCATTTAATTCTTAAATTAAATGTCTGGCCACAAATGAAGACAAGTCATTTTAATTCTCCCCAAAGATACTGAGGCTGAGCTTGAGGGCCACCTAGAGGCTGTGGAGGCTCAATGTATCTACAAATTCACCACCCAACAAAATATGGGTCTTAGTAATGTGGAACCGGGTGAGCATAGGCAATGCGTCTGCATCAGAAGACAGAGGAGCTGAGTCACACAAAAGAAGTCAAAGGAACACTGCTTCATACAACATTGGAGAATTTTATTCACATTACTTTTGTAAAGTGGATATTTGATAATATAAAAAGCATAAGATACACTATGTTTAATTCAAGGTTCCATCAGTTTTTCCCTAATGAAATGAATTTAAACAAGCACCTGTTTGGAAAAATCTGGATGTGGAAACCATGTTGTAGGTCTGGAATCTGTCCTGACCCAGTATGAACCTTCCAGATCCCTCAGGTCATCTGGATCCG